TTAATGTTTACAGGAACTCTTGAGTGCAGTTAGCAGACCAAATGACTGAAAATAAGGAGTACCAACAACTGAAAGCAGGGTTTAATGTTTACAGGAACTCTTGAGTGCAGTTAGCAGACCAAATGACTGAAAATAAGGAGTACCAACAACTGAAAGCAGGGTTTAATGTTTACAGGAACTCTTGAGTGCAGTTAGCAGACCAAATGACTGAAAATAAGGAGTACCAACAACTGAAAGCAGGGTTTAATGTTTACAGGAACTCTTGAGTGCAGTTAGCAGACCAAATGACTGAAAATAAGGAGTACCAACAACTGAAAGCAGGGTTTAATGTTTACAGGAACTCTTGAGTGCAGTTAGCAGACCAAATGACTGAAAATAAGGAGTACCAACAACTGAAAGCAGGGTTTAATGTTTACAGGAACTCTTGAGTGCAGTTAGCAGACCAAATGACTGAAAATAAGGAGTACCAACAACTGAAAGCAGGGTTTAATGTTTACAGGAACTCTTGAGTGCAGTTAGCAGACCAAATGACTGAAAATAAGGAGTACCAACAACTGAAAGCAGGGTTTAATGTTTACAGGAACTCTTGAGTGCAGTTAGCAGACCAAATGACTGAAAATAAGGAGTACCAACAACTGAAAGCAGGGTTTAATGTTTACAGGAACTCTTGAGTGCAGTTAGCAGACCAAATGACTGAAAATAAGGAGTACCAACAACTGAAAGCAGGGTTTAATGTTTACAGGAACTCTTGAGTGCAGTTAGCAGACCAAATGACTGAAAATAAGGAGTACCAACAACTGAAAGCAGGGTTTAATGTTTACAGGAACTCTTGAGTGCAGTTAGCAGACCAAATGACTGAAAATAAGGAGTACCAACAACTGAAAGCAGGGTTTAATGTTTACAGGAACTCTTGAGTGCAGTTAGCAGACCAAATGACTGAAAATAAGGAGTACCAACAACTGAAAGCAGGGTTTAATGTTTACAGGAACTCTTGAGTGCAGTTAGCAGACCAAATGACTGAAAATAAGGAGTACCAACAACTGAAAGCAGGGTTTAATGTTTACAGGAACTCTTGAGTGCAGTTAGCAGACCAAATGACTGAAAATAAGGAGTACCAACAACTGAAAGCAGGGTTTAATGTTTACAGGAACTCTTGAGTGCAGTTAGCAGACCAAATGACTGAAAATAAGGAGTACCAACAACTGAAAGCAGGGTTTAATGTTTACAGGAACTCTTGAGTGCAGTTAGCAGACCAAATGACTGAAAATAAGGAGTACCAACAACTGAAAGCAGGGTTTAATGTTTACAGGAACTCTTGAGTGCAGTTAGCAGACCAAATGACTGAAAATAAGGAGTACCAACAACTGAAAGCAGGGTTTAATGTTTACAGGAACTCTTGAGTGCAGTTAGCAGACCAAATGACTGAAAATAAGGAGTACCAACAACTGAAAGCAGGGTTTAATGTTTACAGGAACTCTTGAGTGCAGTTAGCAGACCAAATGACTGAAAATAAGGAGTACCAACAACTGAAAGCAGGGTTTAATGTTTACAGGAACTCTTGAGTGCAGTTAGCAGACCAAATGACTGAAAATAAGGAGTACCAACAACTGAAAGCAGGGTTTAATGTTTACAGGAACTCTTGAGTGCAGTTAGCAGACCAAATGACTGAAAATAAGGAGTACCAACAACTGAAAGCAGGGTTTAATGTTTACAGGAACTCTTGAGTGCAGTTAGCAGACCAAATGACTGAAAATAAGGAGTACCAACAACTGAAAGCAGGGTTTAATGTTTACAGGAACTCTTGAGTGCAGTTAGCAGACCAAATGACTGAAAATAAGGAGTACCAACAACTGAAAGCAGGGTTTAATGTTTACAGGAACTCTTGAGTGCAGTTAGCAGACCAAATGACTGAAAATAAGGAGTACCAACAACTGAAAGCAGGGTTTAATGTTTACAGGAACTCTTGAGTGCAGTTAGCAGACCAAATGACTGAAAATAAGGAGTACCAACAACTGAAAGCAGGGTTTAATGTTTACAGGAACTCTTGAGTGCAGTTAGCAGACCAAATGACTGAAAATAAGGAGTACCAACAACTGAAAGCAGGGTTTAATGTTTACAGGAACTCTTGAGTGCAGTTAGCAGACCAAATGACTGAAAATAAGGAGTACCAACAACTGAAAGCAGGGTTTAATGTTTACAGGAACTCTTGAGTGCAGTTAGCAGACCAAATGACTGAAAATAAGGAGTACCAACAACTGAAAGCAGGGTTTAATGTTTACAGGAACTCTTGAGTGCAGTTAGCAGACCAAATGACTGAAAATAAGGAGTACCAACAACTGAAAGCAGGGTTTAATGTTTACAGGAACTCTTGAGTGCAGTTAGCAGACCAAATGACTGAAAATAAGGAGTACCAACAACTGAAAGCAGGGTTTAATGTTTACAGGAACTCTTGAGTGCAGTTAGCAGACCAAATGACTGAAAATAAGGAGTACCAACAACTGAAAGCAGGGTTTAATGTTTACAGGAACTCTTGAGTGCAGTTAGCAGACCAAATGACTGAAAATAAGGAGTACCAACAACTGAAAGCAGGGTTTAATGTTTACAGGAACTCTTGAGTGCAGTTAGCAGACCAAATGACTGAAAATAAGGAGTACCAACAACTGAAAGCAGGGTTTAATGTTTACAGGAACTCTTGAGTGCAGTTAGCAGACCAAATGACTGAAAATAAGGAGTACCAACAACTGAAAGCAGGGTTTAATGTTTACAGGAACTCTTGAGTGCAGTTAGCAGACCAAATGACTGAAAATAAGGAGTACCAACAACTGAAAGCAGGGTTTAATGTTTACAGGAACTCTTGAGTGCAGTTAGCAGACCAAATGACTGAAAATAAGGAGTACCAACAACTGAAAGCAGGGTTTAATGTTTACAGGAACTCTTGAGTGCAGTTAGCAGACCAAATGACTGAAAATAAGGAGTACCAACAACTGAAAGCAGGGTTTAATGTTTACAGGAACTCTTGAGTGCAGTTAGCAGACCAAATGACTGAAAATAAGGAGTACCAACAACTGAAAGCAGGGTTTAATGTTTACAGGAACTCTTGAGTGCAGTTAGCAGACCAAATGACTGAAAATAAGGAGTACCAACAACTGAAAGCAGGGTTTAATGTTTACAGGAACTCTTGAGTGCAGTTAGCAGACCAAATGACTGAAAATAAGGAGTACCAACAACTGAAAGCAGGGTTTAATGTTTACAGGAACTCTTGAGTGCAGTTAGCAGACCAAATGACTGAAAATAAGGAGTACCAACAACTGAAAGCAGGGTTTAATGTTTACAGGAACTCTTGAGTGCAGTTAGCAGACCAAATGACTGAAAATAAGGAGTACCAACAACTGAAAGCAGGGTTTAATGTTTACAGGAACTCTTGAGTGCAGTTAGCAGACCAAATGACTGAAAATAAGGAGTACCAACAACTGAAAGCAGGGTTTAATGTTTACAGGAACTCTTGAGTGCAGTTAGCAGACCAAATGACTGAAAATAAGGAGTACCAACAACTGAAAGCAGGGTTTAATGTTTACAGGAACTCTTGAGTGCAGTTAGCAGACCAAATGACTGAAAATAAGGAGTACCAACAACTGAAAGCAGGGTTTAATGTTTACAGGAACTCTTGAGTGCAGTTAGCAGACCAAATGACTGAAAATAAGGAGTACCAACAACTGAAAGCAGGGTTTAATGTTTACAGGAACTCTTGAGTGCAGTTAGCAGACCAAATGACTGAAAATAAGGAGTACCAACAACTGAAAGCAGGGTTTAATGTTTACAGGAACTCTTGAGTGCAGTTAGCAGACCAAATGACTGAAAATAAGGAGTACCAACAACTGAAAGCAGGGTTTAATGTTTACAGGAACTCTTGAGTGCAGTTAGCAGACCAAATGACTGAAAATAAGGAGTACCAACAACTGAAAGCAGGGTTTAATGTTTACAGGAACTCTTGAGTGCAGTTAGCAGACCAAATGACTGAAAATAAGGAGTACCAACAACTGAAAGCAGGGTTTAATGTTTACAGGAACTCTTGAGTGCAGTTAGCAGACCAAATGACTGAAAATAAGGAGTACCAACAACTGAAAGCAGGGTTTAATGTTTACAGGAACTCTTGAGTGCAGTTAGCAGACCAAATGACTGAAAATAAGGAGTACCAACAACTGAAAGCAGGGTTTAATGTTTACAGGAACTCTTGAGTGCAGTTAGCAGACCAAATGACTGAAAATAAGGAGTACCAACAACTGAAAGCAGGGTTTAATGTTTACAGGAACTCTTGAGTGCAGTTAGCAGACCAAATGACTGAAAATAAGGAGTACCAACAACTGAAAGCAGGGTTTAATGTTTACAGGAACTCTTGAGTGCAGTTAGCAGACCAAATGACTGAAAATAAGGAGTACCAACAACTGAAAGCAGGGTTTAATGTTTACAGGAACTCTTGAGTGCAGTTAGCAGACCAAATGACTGAAAATAAGGAGTACCAACAACTGAAAGCAGGGTTTAATGTTTACAGGAACTCTTGAGTGCAGTTAGCAGACCAAATGACTGAAAATAAGGAGTACCAACAACTGAAAGCAGGGTTTAATGTTTACAGGAACTCTTGAGTGCAGTTAGCAGACCAAATGACTGAAAATAAGGAGTACCAACAACTGAAAGCAGGGTTTAATGTTTACAGGAACTCTTGAGTGCAGTTAGCAGACCAAATGACTGAAAATAAGGAGTACCAACAACTGAAAGCAGGGTTTAATGTTTACAGGAACTCTTGAGTGCAGTTAGCAGACCAAATGACTGAAAATAAGGAGTACCAACAACTGAAAGCAGGGTTTAATGTTTACAGGAACTCTTGAGTGCAGTTAGCAGACCAAATGACTGAAAATAAGGAGTACCAACAACTGAAAGCAGGGTTTAATGTTTACAGGAACTCTTGAGTGCAGTTAGCAGACCAAATGACTGAAAATAAGGAGTACCAACAACTGAAAGCAGGGTTTAATGTTTACAGGAAACACCAAGTTCAAGATAGAAACATTAGACAGCATGCCTTTCACCAGGAAAAACATTTCTACAGATGAAAAGCCTGTGTTTTGGCCTCCCCAAATCAGAAGTGATGCTAGGACTGACACGGTCCCCCATCACAGTCATTTAGGATACAGGATAATGCACGTGCTAGCAAGTACTCGGGCTTTTTTAAAGGCCATTAGTAATGTACAGTTTTACTGTTTTATAACATTTCCACAGCTGTTGACACTTTTTAGGCCTCAGTTTGAAACATGACCTATGTGAGAGTATAGGTTTAAACAGTTATTTGTCAAAGTACAGCTGGGATATTGTCTTGTTTTAGCACATAGCACAAGGGGAAAATACACACCAGATCTGCAGTGCTTCATAATGCTAAGAACAACTGCAACAAACCTAACATTGGTGTTACAAACAAAACATGATTGGCCATGGGGTTCACTCCTTTAACCCCAGGATTCAGGAGGCTGTGACAGGAAGATATGAGTTCAAGGTGTCAATCTAGGATACACAATAAACCCCAAACAACAAACCAACTTAGAGAGTCAACCCTGAGGGGTGAGGGACTGACTGCTCTTATTCAATAGCCTCGTTTTTATGCTTAATGACTTGACAAAAATACCCAGTTCACAGTGATAAGCTGCCTGCTTCTGATGGGAGGAGGTATATCATCAAAGTACTGCCCAAGATACTCTGTGGTATAGACTTGATGCTCAATTACCGTTGCTCTCTGCATTTCTCAACAAGGATATCATGAGGTAATAAGTATTCTAACAGTGAAAATAACTCCGGCTTGGAGCATAACTCACTGAGCTCAGGATTTCATCTCTTAGTATTAGGCAGTTCCCAAAAATTTAGTGTTTAATAAGGAATGAAACTACAGAAGTGAGTGACATCTTGTTTTGGGTAGTTTCACAGCAGGGCTCCAGCAAGTGAGCTGAATACAGGACCCCAGTGAAGGAGACTGGGAAAAGGTTGCACCTCCCAAGATGCTAAGGATACCGACAGGCCAGTCACATGAAATAATGACTCACTGGATTCTGTATGCTAAATATCTACCCTGTTACTTTTACAAGAATGTCTGTATCTATGAATTGTCATTATAAGGAAAAACAAAAGCTTGGCTTGACAAAGGGCTAAATGCATACTATTCCTGAAAGATCATCACTTCTCTTTGGCTCAATGAACAGCATTTTAGTCACAATTCATGGATAGTAGTTATTAGGTTTTTAGGCATAGAGAAATAGAACTGAATTTTCTCTGCATATGTGGAGACTGATATAACCCATGATCCAAAGGATTATAAGAGAAATCCAAGGTCTAACCAAGATATCTTCATCACCTCTGTTGGATAGATTTTATTCAGTAAACAAGTAAAGCCTTCTGATGTTGAGTTAGTCAATTATTTGCCTTGATGTTCTTCAGTGAGAGAAGTCAGTTCAAAATTAAACTTTTCTGAAACTGCCTTATTTCTTTACAAAATACAGAACAAAAGTCTTGAATTCAGAAAAGTAGTCTAAAACAACTGGCTGAAGTTGTTTCATGTTTTTCCAGTAATCTGTTCAGCTATTTTGGCTAAAAACACAGTAACTGACCAACGGTTTAAACTTCTCTCATTTGACAAACATTTCCAGTTCTTATTTACATGACCTTTTAAATTATTTTAAGACATAGTGGACACCAAAATCATTAAAATGAATTTCTTCTCAAAATCTGAAAGTTTCACCCAGTGAAAAGATGAGCATTTTGAGAGTTATAAGAGGGAAAGAGCACTTCCTGCCTCTCAGTCCTGGCTCTTCTAGGACCGTCTAGGGACAGTTGCATCTCAGTCGCACTCTTCTAGAATCATCTCAGTCCCGCTCTGCTAGGACCGTCTAGGGACAGCTGCATCTCAGTCACACTCTTCTAGAACTGTCTAGGCACAGCTGCATCTCAGTCCCGCTCTGCTAGGACCGTCTAGGCACAGCCGCATCTCAGTCCTGCTCTTCTAGGACCGTCTAGGGACAGCAGGCATGTTGATGTGGACATGAATGACTACTTGTAGAGTTCCCAGAAAGTAATTCTTGCTTCTGACATATTTCATATCACTGAATGATAGACTTAGGCACACACCTTCTCTTCTTGGTGTGGCTTGCTTTTTATGAACCTGGCCTGAGGTTTAGAATTAGGAGTGAGACCTGCAACTCCTCAAGCTTCCCAGGAGTCACTATAACTAGTGAAGTCCTTGTAACTTCAGGACACAGAAGTATGTGTTCACAACAGATTAGTGACTTTTTAAAAGGTAATTTCACCTTGTGCATGATAACCAGCTCCTGGGACACAGTACTTTGCTGTCACCAAGTCAGAACTCCCATTGCTTCGCCTCAGGGTCCGGGTTTCTGCACCTTTGTCCGCAGCTTGGCAAGCTCCTCCTCCAGACTTCTGATGTGCTCCTTCAGCGTGGCCTCGTCTTGCTGGGCTCTCTGACTGGCTTGGCTTCGTGCTTCTTCGATTTTCCTTTCATACCACTTTTCCATCTGGGTAGAAACGGCCTCAAAAAAATACTGGGTTAGCTCCAGGGCTTGTGAGGCATCTGGAACATCACCGCCTGCTGCTGCTGGCTGCTGCCCACAGGGGCTGCTGACTGTTGGCTGCTGGCCTCGATGTTTGGTCTGCCCGCTTCTCCCAGACTTCTTGGTTTGAGTGCCTCTGTTGACACAGGATGCCGTCTGCTGATCACACGTGGGAGCCCCATTCAAGGGACAGGAGGCCGCTGGGGCCTTGCCCTTCCTTGGCCGGGAGCTTGTGCAGTCAGAGGGAGGCGGCTCCTCCTGCTGTCTCTGGGCAGCAGTGGCACTGAGCGCCTTGTCCTTGGGCCTCACAACCTGAGAGGAGCTGTTGGAAGTTGCCGCTGGCCCTGAAGCAGCCACTGGTTCATCTACAGCTGTTTTCAAAGGAGAAACAAATGTCAGAGCATGTCCGCATTTAGACACAGGACTGGGTCTCATTCACTTGAGAGTCCTGGAGTCCTCAGAACCTCAGCCTTCCCAGGCACCGCCTGCCCACCCACTGTTCTGCCTTTCTGGGCACTGCTCACCCGTTTCTCTGAGCTTTCTTTCACCGTCCCCCTCTCCCTCTTTCCCCCTTCCTCCCCTCCCTCCCTCCCTCCTTCCCTCCCACCCTCCCACCTTATCTCCAGCATTCTCATCTTAGCTCATCAGGGCTCTCTTGGATTCTGTAATAGTGTATAGGCTAGATTTCTGGCCTTTCCTTAGCCTGACTTGTCTGTCCTAGAAGTCTCTGGGTCCTGGTTCTAATGCCGAAGGATGACAAAACTTACAAAGTGTCTCAACACACAGAGTGCTGATCTATGAAGAGGAATACACCCACACTCTTCATTTCTGTGACATAAGCCTATGTGCCAATTTACTTTATGGACTTTTTCTCTGCTTGTTAGAGACAGGGTCTCACTATGAACTCAGTGACCCACCTGCCTCTGCCTCCTAAATGCTGAGACTGAAGGCATGTGCCACCACACCCACTGACAACTCATTTTTTTTGGACTGGTTTCAGGGTTACAGCAGAGTTGTGAGGAAGGGATGCGGCAGTCCAGTCCCGATTCACTTGGCCCATATTCCATTCTCTACAGCCGTTCCCTAGCTAGTCCTAGCATGAGAAGTTGGCTCAGGGTGTTTCTTGACATGTTGGTACAAAGATAAAGCCATGTAGATAGATAGATAGATAGATAGATAGATAGATAGATAGATAGATAGACAGACAGACAGACAGACAGACAGACAGATAGATATAGATGATAGACAGACAGACAGACAGACAGACAGATAGATAAAATGGATAGAACCTAAGATTATTGTGGTAGAATTAACTCAGACTAAAAGGACAGATGGTACATTTTTTTCTGTCATATTCAGAATCTAGAACTTTTTTCTTTAAGAAAATTTCTTTTGAAACAAGGTTTCTCTTTATCTATCTATCTATCTATCTATCTATCTATCTATCTATCTATCATGATTGTCTTGTAACTCAATACATAGACCAACCTTACCTTGAACTCACAGAGATCTACCTGCCTATGCCTCCTGAGTGCTGGGATTAAAGGCATGTGCCAGCATGTCCAAGTAGAATCTAGACTTTTAAAAGCCGTAACGGAAGAGGGGCTATTTGGGAAGAGGAAATGAATTAGCAGAAGTGGAGGTACCAGGGGGCATTTGGGATGATGCCTGTGTGTGGAAATATAGTGAAACCATCATTTTGTACAATGAACATATGCGAGTTTTCATTTAAAGCATGTCTTGCCACTGGGGTGAGCTCTGGGTACATTTGCTGCTTTAAAGAGCTTTGCAGGGTTAGGTAAAGGCAAACGGCCATTTGAGTAGGAGCAGAGAGGGGAAAGGCCTGCCCAGAAGAAAGTTGGTCCTTCATCACCCCTCATCTTCAGGATCCACTGGCCCCCATGTGCTGTTGGCTTTGTCAATTTCCCATAAGCTAGGGTCATCTGGGAAGAGGATTCTCACTTGAGAAAATGCCTCCATCGGACTGTCTCTAGGCAAGCCTGTAAGTGTATTCTCTTCATTAATGGTTGATGTGTGAGAGCCCGACCCACTGTGGGTGCTGTTACCCTGGGTCCTGGGGTATATAAGAAAGCCAGCTATAAAGAGCAAGCCAGTAAGCAACACTTCCTTCGTGGGTGGTCTCTATCTCAGTTCTGGTCCCCAGGCTCGTGCCTTAAGTTCCTATCCTGACTTCCCTCAGTGACGGAGTCTGACTTGAAATGTTTAAGCCAAATAAACTCTTTCCTCCCCAGGCTGATTTTGGTCATGGTCACCTGTCAATATCCCTTATTTTATTCCTCACTCTCACGTGTCTGGATACGTCATGCTTCCTAACATTTGAACCTCCCTGCATTTGCTGAAGGTGTGGCGTACGAACATTGTTCAGATCAGGAAGGACAAGAGTGGGTCTCTGTCTACCAGACACTCGCTATGCGTGGGTCACCTGGAGAGGAGTCACACGGAGATGGTATGGATTTAGCTCTACAGGTCCGAGACTCTCCAGAAAGCCTCAGCTCTAGATTCTGGATCTTCACCATACACCAGGCTTTTAATTCATCCACCAATGACATCTAAAATAATAAACAATACACAAGAGATTAGATAAGACGTATGAATAAAGCATCAAGAATGAACTTCTGGGTGTGCTGGTAGCACACACCTTTAATCCCAGCACTGGGGAGGCAGAGGCAGGTGGATCTCTGTGAGTTCAAGGCCAGTGTGATCTACAGAGCAAATTCCAAGACAGCCTCCAAAGCTACACAGAGGAATCCTGTCTCGGGAAAAAAGAAAAAGAAAAAAAGAACTTCTGGTGGGGGTGGCTGGAGAAATAGCTCAGTAGTTAAGAGCAAATTGCTCTTCCAAAGGACCTAAGTTTATTCCCAGCACCACATGTCAGTTCACAACCAGTTTATAGTCTTTAACTCCAGTCCGAGGGCACCAGACACCCAGTTCAATCCCTAGAACCCACATGGTAGAGAGAAGGAAAGAGAACTGAGTTCCTCAAGTTGTCCTAAGGAAGTGCCCTGGAATGCACATCTTCGCTTTTTCTCTGTCCACACCGCTTTATGTGTGTGAGTGTGTGTGTGTGTGAGAGTGAGAGTGTGTGAGTGAGTGTGTGTGAGAGTGAGTGATTGTGTGTGTTTGTGTGTGTGAGTGTGTGTGTGTGTATGTGTGAGTGTGTGTGTTTGTGTGTGTGAGTGTGTGGGCGTGTATGTGTGAGTGAGAGTGTGAGTGTGTGATTGTGTGTGTTTGTGTGTGTGAGTGTGTGATTGTGTGTGTGTTTGTGTGTGTGAGTGAGTGTGTATGTGTGAGTGAGAGTGAGTGTGAGTGTGTGTGATTGTGTGTGTTTGTGTGTGAGTGTGTGTTTGTGTGTGTGAGTGTGTATGTGAGAGTGTGAGTGTGTGATTGTGTGTGTGTGTGTGTGTGTGTGTGTGTGTGTGTGAGTATGTCTCATGTGTGCATATACCCCTGGAGGGGAGAAAGGTGTGGGGAACCAGGAGCTGGGGTTACAGGCAGTTATGAGCAACCCAGTGTAGGTGCTGGGTCCACTGGAGAGCAGAACACACTTAACCACTAAGTCAACTCTCTAGTTCTCAAGAATGAACTTTTAAATTACGACACTTGGGGTTACAAGTGACGCATCTAAAGGGGAGGGATTATCCATCCTCCCACAGGCCATGCCTGCCACCTAGAACTCAAATGCCTAAACGCCCAGTAAACCTTCCAAACCAGGGGTGTTTGGCTGCTCTCCCAATCTTCCAGGCACTCATCCCATTTCTGCTGACCTGGCAAGCAGCAGACTCCTGAAGAGGAAGCCGATGAATGGCCAAATCACAGAACAGATGCCTTTCCAGCACAGTCTCCACTTTCCACCAGCAGACTGGGCAACAGGCTCAGACAGGACTCCATGCTCTCCTACTAACGCTACTGGGGCTACGGAAACAGCAGGCTATGGAAGGCAAATAGTCTTTGGACTCTCAGCCTCTCAGTTCGCATTGCTAGCCGTGGCTCAGCTCAGCAGACACAGTGAATCACGGCGAAGGACTGGCTGGCTCTTACCTGCCGTTTCTCCCCCTCCTGCTTCTCAGCCGCCGCATGCTGCTGCAGGCGATTCAGGCACTCTGTTCTCTCTGCCGACAGTCTCTCTACCATCAGTTTGTCCAAAACACACATCTGGGGTTCAAGGAGACAGAGCGCAGACTGAAATGATCTAAGAATGGACTCTGGCTTCCACTCACGAGGAAAGTCCACAAAGCAGGCAACTGACTTCAACTCCGCCTTCCATCCTAGTTTCACAGCATGAACTTCTAGCTTTTCAGAATTCCTGTATACATTTCTTATAAGGTCACTGTTGTCCCTTTTTCTCATCATAAGTCCTAAGGGCTTAACAGACCACAAGTTCACAAAACTATACAACATAAGCAAGTGGAGGCAGGGATTCCAGTAGGCCCTAGAACATAAATGCCAAAGCTATCATTAGAACAACTATGGAAAAACCACAGAGAACGGGTTCCCATTGTTTTGTTAAAGGCAACCAAAACATGCATGGAAAAGGAATAGAAACTATTTCAAAGATTGCTTAAGAGACCAATTGACTGCCATCATTTGGTCAAAGACTCTTTCTGGGACCTTGTAACATGTCCTGTAGGGTCCTGACTCCTATGCTAGACCAAGCTCATTGATCTGACAAGGTCCAAAAAAGAGAACAGAGCTAGTGCCAGAAGGAGCCAGCCATAAGATCTCACTGTGGAGCCATCCATGCTGGTGATGCACACGGAATTTCACAGCGAGGCTCTATGAGTTCCAGAAAGGTGGGTCTTGTGTCTTTTGGGCTGCAAATTTTTCTGGGAGCTGCTTACTTTCCATATTTACCAGGATACTCCTCCCCATCTTCTGCTACAGAGATGCCCACACCAAGAAGCGAGGTGTGCAGGGCTTCTTTGAAAGCAACAGCATTGGCCCAGGCACTGGGCTCACACTGCTGGGCTCACATCCTGTCCTTACCACTTAGAAAGAGGACTAATCCTACCCTAACCTGCCATCCTCCCCAGGGGCCATAAGGATTTAACTTTAAGTCTGGCACAGTCCTTTGGGAGTACAGACTGGCTGATACATCATGACTTAGAAAGTTTCCAAATACTCTTCCCACAAAATGCAAGAGGCAAGTAAATCAGAAAAATGTTCAACCTCAGTGGGTGTGGGGGTGCACCCTTTATCCCAGCATTCTGGAGGCAGAGGCAGGGGTCTCTGTGAGTTCCAGGCCACTCTGGTCTATATAGCAAGTTCTAGGCCAACCAGGGTTACACAATGTCTGAAAGAGGAAGAGAGAGAATGTGAGTTAGTTCAGCTTCACCAGAAACAGAGAGAGAGAGAGAGAGAGAGAGAGAGAGAGAGAGCTCAGCTTCACCATAAACAAAGAAATAAAACTTACAGTAGAATGTCCATTTAACACAAACTTGAAAAAATAAAATATTAAATGATGACAAAATGGAGTGAGAAACTCAGATACTGGTGGAGTGTAAATTGGTAGAACCTTTCTATGAGGTAACCTGCCAGCATTCATCAACGTTGGACCAAAATACCCTACCACTAACCAAGTCTGAGACTGGGCCAGCAAGATGACTCAGTAGGTAAGGACATCTGCCACCAAGACTGAGAACCTGAATTCAACCCTGGGACTCACGCAGGAGGAGAGAATAAACTTCCTGCCTCCACCAACACACACACACACACACACACACACACACACACACACACACACAATTAAATGCAAAAAGATTTTAAAGTCTGAGAAGCAGCCAACAAATTACATTCATAAACTTTTTCTTTTTGTTTTTTCGAGACAGGGTTTCTCTGTATTGTTTTGGAGGCTGTCCTGGAACTTGCTCTGTAGACCAGGCTGGCCTCGAACTCACAGAGATCCGCCTGCCTCTGCCTCCTGAGTGCTGGGATTAAAGGCGTGCGCCACCAATGCCTGGCCTACATTCATAAACTTTTATCTTAAAATGATTTGTAAGAGTAGGAGAAAAGTCTAATAATAAGTGGTTAAGTAAACCATGCTGTATTAGTAGGCAAATATTATGTAGATAAAGACACGGGAACGTGCTTGTGACATGCACGGTGTCATTGTCCCACATGGGCACAGTGCTGCACTGTGAAACACACTGCAGGGTGGTCTGTGTGGTTCTAGAGATCATCATGGCTGTTCCGGGCACTGGAAAAAACTGCAAAGAGGAGGAAGCCAGCGCTAGGAAATGGCGCTAGGAATCACACTTCTTTAACGGGAAGGGCTTTCTCCAAATCATACTATTCTGTATGTTCCCTTAAAGTGTATCTTAGCGAAAAATCCTACTCATCGCAGATTTCCTCTTAACGACGAGAAAAGCGTACTTTCACCATGGAAGAAAACAAGCGCCTGACTTAGCATCAGTGACCGCTGGCATTAAGTGCCTCCGTGTAGAGTTCACACCTCTAACCATGATGTATGCCTGCAGAAGTATTTATGGGAACCTAAGTAACTCCAGCAGCAGCACGTGGAGGTCTTGCTCGTCACAGGCTTGTGGGCCCCACTCAGAATTCCAGTCACGGTGATTAAATCAACTCAGCAACTATGGAATAGGCCCAAGAGTTCACCTCGCCGACCTCTGCTGCCACTGCCTGGGGGCCACACTCTCAGAGCTGTGAACTGTCCTAGACCTTTCTGTTGACAGAAGTGCAGGGATGAAGAAACAACCATGAAGAAGCTAGGAACAAATCCAGAAGGCAGCGGGCCATACAAGACAAGCGGCACGGGTGCTCCAAAGAGCCAGCGAGCTGGAAGGAGCTGGGAGCCGCTCAGAGACCGCAGAACCCAACAGTCAGGTGTACAAAGGGCCCTACACCAGGGCAAAATCAAACATCTCAAAAGAGATTGAATAAACAAATAAATAACCCGTGAAAACAACTAAATAAAATATTTAGGAGCACCTGAGAAAGTCTGAACATAGGCAGGACATTGTGTGATCATTGCGGAGTCTCTCAGATGTGATGAATTTTGGGCTTATCCCTGTGGGCAGGCACACTGAGCTCCTGAGAGGTCAGACGGCAGGACACGGCAACAGTCTCCCCCAGTGTGAGGCGAGGGGCTGGCGAGGCAGGAAGAGGGGCCCAAAGCAGCAGACTAAGAACAGAAGCTGGGTGTGGGGCCCTGCTTCCAACCCCAGTACTCAGAAGGGAGGGGGTCAGAGTTCAGGACCAGCCTAGGCCACACAGTGTGACTCTGAACAGAGAATTGGTCGACTCTCAGTACGAGTGTAAAAGCATTCGCTATTCATCAGTGTCTTCTCTAAACTCTTCTCCGTGTGGTTGTTTTCTGATAAACACTTGAACGAAGGAGCTGGAGCTGTACCTCACTTGGTAAGCACTTGTTTAACATGCATGAAGCCCTGGGTTCAGTCCCCAGCCCATGAGACCAGATGTGGGGTGCAGACCTGCAACCCAGCATTTGGGCCATGAAGCTGGAAAGGCAGAAGTCCCAGGCCTCCTCAGCTACAAAGTGAGTCTCAGGCAAGCTTGACTCCATGAAAGACAGCAGAGCATATAGACGAAGAAAATAAATACTAATAGTTTTTCTTGCCGGGTGTTGGTGGCCCAAGCCTTTAATCCCAGCACTCAGGAGGCAGAGGCAGGCGGATCTCTGTGAGTTTGAGGACAGCCTGGTCTACAGAGCGAGTTCCAGGACAGCCTCCAAAACAATACAGAGAAACCCTGTCTTGAAAAACCAAAAAAAAAAAAAAAAAAAAAAAAAAAAGAGAGAGCTAGTTCCAGGACAGCTTCAAAGCCACAGAGAAACCCTGTCTCCAGGGGAAAAAATAGTTTTTCTTTTTTATCACTACAGGCTTGTGGGTAATTTGCTTTCCTCACTAATGTTTCTTTTTCTTTTTCTTTTTTTTTTCAGTTTAAATTTAGATTAGAAACAAGGTTGCTTCACAAGTCAGTGCCAGGTCCCTCTTCCTTTCCCTCCCCTCCTCCCTTGCCCTCCCTCTTTTTCTTTTACTTTTTCTTTTTTTTTGGTTTTTCGAGACAGGGTTTCTCTGTGGCTTTGAAGGCTGTCCTGGAACTTGTCCAGGCTAGGTGTTTATTTTTCTTTTCTTTCTTTTTAAAATAATGCTTTGTAATGGAAATGTATTTCTTTCTTCCCTCCTTCCCCAGCCCCTCTTCTCTTCCTTCCTTCCCTCCCTCCTTTCCTTCCTCCCTTCCTCCCTCCCTCCTTCCTTTCTTTCTAGAGACAAAGCCTCACTACTGCCCAGACTATCCCTGAATTTGTGACCCTCCTGAATCATCCTCCTACATGTGCCGCTATGCCTGGCAGGAATACATAACCTTTCTAATCCTAACTTTGGTTATATGCCCGAGGCCGGCACATGCATGGAACCAAACCCAAGCTGCCTTCACACCTGTCCCCGGGAGGGAGGCTGAGTCCGGCTTCACACCTTTCTCCTGGAGGGAGGCTGAGTCCCGGCTTCACACCTGTCCCTGGGAGGGAGGCTGAGCCCTGGCTTCACACCTGTCCCTGGGAGGGAGGCTGAGCCCTGGCTTCACACCTGTCTCCTGGAGGGAGGCTGAGCCCCGGCTTCACACCTGTCCCTGGGAGGGAGGCTGAGCCCTGGCTTCACACCTGTCCCTGGGAGGCTGAGCCCTGGCTTCACACCTGTCTCCTGGAGGGAGGCTGAGCCCCGGCTTCACACCTGTCCCTGGGAGGGAGGCTGAGCCACCGGCTTCACACCTGTCCCGGGAGGCTGAGCCCCGGCTTCACACCTTTCTCCTGGAGGGAGGCTAAGCCCTGGCTTCACACCTGTCCCTGGAGGCTGAGCCCCGGCTTCACACCTGTCCCCGGAGGCTGAGCCCGGCTTCACACCCGTCTCTGGGAGGGAGGCTGAGCCCTGGCTTCACACCCGTCCCGGGAGGCTGAGCCGCCGGCTTCACACCTGTCCTGGGAGGCTGAGCCACCGGCTTCACACCCATCCCCGGGAGGCTGAGCCGCTGGCTTCACACCTGTCCCTGAGCCGCCGGCTTCAAACCTGTCTCCTGGAGGGAGGCTGAGCCCGGCTTCACACCCGTCCCCGGGAGGCTGAGCCGCCGGCTTCACACCCGTCCCGGGAGGCTGAGCCGCCGGCTTCACACCCGTCCCCGGGAGGCTGAGCCGCCGGCTTCACACCCGTCCCGGGAGGCTGAGCCGCCGGCTTCACACCTGTCCCTGGGAGGGAGGCTGAGCCGCCGGCTTCACACCTGTCCCGGGAGGCTGAGCCGCCGGCTTCACACCTGTCCTGGGAGGCTGAGCCCTGGCTTCACACCTGTCCCGGGAGGCTGAGCCCTGGCTTCACACCTGTCCCGGGAGGCTGAGCCGCCGGCTTCACACCTGTCCCGGGAGGCTGAGCCGCCGGCTTCACACCTGTCCCGGGAGGCTGAGCCGCCGGCTTACTTGGTGCTGGGTCTTGCTCTCCATCTGTCCCAGCTTTGTGTTCACTTTATCCTGCACTGATCCCAGCTCAGCTTTGATCTCCTCCACCGCCGCCTCCAACTGGTTCTCCAGCTTGTTGATTAGAGGTTCGCATCGACAACCCTTTATTGGTGCCTGGGGGAATGAAAAAGGAATCAGGGGCTGGAAACATGACTCAGTGAGCAAGAGCACTGGCTGTGCAAACCTGAGGACCTGAGTTCAGATCCTACCACCCATGGAAAAATCCAGGCATGTACATCTGTAATCCCAGAGCTGTGGGGGCAGAGACAGCAGGATCACTGGGGCGTGGTAGCCTCCAGGTTCCGTGAGAGACCTGTCTCAAAGGAGTAAGATGTACAGTGATAGAGCAGGGAACCCAGCGCCCTCCTCTGGCTTCTGCAAGTACACACACTTGGGTGTATGCACTCAAATACATACACATAATGTATGACACTCACAAATACTCTCCCCCACCCCAGAGAAAGAAAGGGAGAGAGAGAGAGAGACAGAGAGAGAGGTAGAAATTAGTAAATTAGTCCTTCTTTATTAAAATATCATCTAGGGCCACCATTGTGCCACTCAGGACACCAGGGGGAGGCAGAAGACTAAGGGGACAGACTTGTCCCCATGCTAGCATGGGAAGTCCCATTGCTTGAGCTTTGGGTAAGTACCTGTCTTAAAGATGCTTGAAGCCACCCACTCTGGGACCTCAAGACAGAAGTGCCTAAAGGATGGTACAGATGCTATGGGTAGTGACTTCTGGGGTGTACACGGCACGGCACATATGCACGTTTGGGTGGGGCCCTTGTGGCTCATGTCTAAGTCAAGTCCTGAGTGGCCATGGACCCCCAGGCCCGGGCTTCGCCAGCTCATAGCGTCTGCAGGCTGCTGGCCCAGGGCGGCTGTGCGGTACCTGCATCACTTTTCCATCCTCGCCCCTGTACAGTGTGTAGAGCTGGTAGGCCCTGAATCCATGTGGTGGAGGTGGGGACCAACATCGGTGTCTGCTCTTCTTTTTGGGGTGATGGTGACTGTGTGGGTTCCTTTGGTGTCCAGGCTGTTGATCTGCTGCTGGGGTGGGGTCAGAGAGTGCTGACACCTGTGGGAAGGAAGGGCCACCCCTAAGTCCCTGCAACACCCACTGGAGTGGTACCCGGCCAGCAGGTCCATCTCCCATGCTACATAATGTAGCCCTGTGTCAGAAATAGAAAATGAAGAACCCCAGCATGCTTTGGGGTCCAGAGGACACCCAGGAACGCATGAGCACCCTCTCAGATGTCTAATGCCAGGAGATTTCATTTTCGTGTTCATTCCCAAACAGCCAGCCAGAGGCACAGTGTCCCAGCTGGGCAAGTCACCCCAGGCCCTCCGCCAACCCCAAATGTGCCCTGCTCCCAGGACCTGCTTGCTCCTCACCTCTGGCCTCGACTTTCTCCTCCTGTCACCCTTCCTGGGCTCCTGGGAAGCTGCCGGGCAGTCTTTTCTGGCTTCCTCTTTTTGGGGGACAGCTTGCTCACTACTGGGGGTATCTCCTGCTGAGACACTTCCCTACAAAAGAGAAACCCCCAAATGGCTACACTTGAATCTTTGGCCTCTGACCCCAGCTGGGTAAATGTGTGCTTACAAGACTCCATCCCATCATGGACCCACTGGGACATTAGCCAATGACAGAAGTCTTCCGCAACAGCTGCTGGCTGGCTGTGCGGGTGGGCTTTCATCTGGATAAAACCAACTGTGCTCTTGGGTCCATACTTTGGTGCTTTTGTGTTTTCAAAAAAAAATCTCTATATCACAGTCCCTGCCAAGAATTCTCAAAGAACTGGGTGCTTCACACATGTCTTTAATCTCAGCAGAGGCAGGTGGATCGGATCTCTGGGAGTTCAAGGCCAGCTTAAGCTAGCTAGCAAGTTCCAGACTAGTCAGAGCTAAACAGTGAGACCTTGTCCCGGCAAAAAACTTCCAAGGGATCCCATATTGCTCACTGCACAATGGCACTGCTGAGGGGTGAAACTCCAAGTCAAGCTCGTATTCTATGTACAACGCAACCCTGCTGTGCCCCGCGTCATCCTTCTCTGACACAGAAGAACAGCCTCGCTCCAGTCTCTAGTTAGAAACCGAAGAAGCAGCCTGCCCTAGAGACTCTCAGAATCCCCTAGAAAGCTTGTTCAAACACACCAGACTGACTCTATCCACAGCTCCTGTTCCTGCAGGTCCAAGTGAGGCCTAGGAGTCTGCATTGCTAACAAGGCCCCAGGCGACAACATGGGCACCACAGCTGCAGAATCCAAGTTCTGCACAGTTCAGGGCACAGTACAGTCGTGGGACAAAGGCCTCAGGCACACAGGGCACACAGGGAGGAAGGCCACTCTCCTCACTCATACACACAAAGACACAGGATCTGGAACTACAGACAGACAGGGAGGGACATTTGGAAGGGGAAGCAGCCTGAGCCCGGTGAGAAGGACGGGCTAAGGAGAGCAGCAGCAGGGCAAGGGGCCCCTCACACCTTGCTCTGTGCCACCTCATCTCTGGGCACAGACTGGGCCCGCCTCTCTTCCTTGAGCCTCTCTCTCCTTTTCCTCAGGCTTCGCCCACGGCTAAAGTGCAAGATCTGAAAGAGACAAACGCCATAGCTGTAGGGGTGAAGGGGACACAGCGTCAACATGATGTTGCAGAGCGCCTTGGGCATGGCACTCTGACCTAGCAGAACTCACAGCCTGGTGGGAAACACGAGCAGTAACAGAAAACTCTGGACTTCCTGTGCCTTCTTGGTCTTGTGCTGAGCACAAAGGGAAGCCAGAAATGGGTAGTGCACTGTCTCTGATCACAAGAGACTTCTATGATGATAATAACAGCATTTGTGTGCTAGGCTGGCATGGCCAGATAATGTACATAGCCAGCAGAGAGTGCCACTTACATAAACTAGGATAGGAATGCCTGCCATGAGGTAGCCCTGCTCCAGACAGTTTCACTTTCTACCTTCATTTCCCTTGGCCAAAGTATATGGAAAAAAACCTGTCAGTTTAATTCTGACATCACTGGGGTGTATCTGCGGGCTATCAGGTTTTCCGTGTTTCCAAAGGGACCGGTATCTGCCCCTAACAATGCAGTAAAGCAGAAGGAGCCAGCAAGGGCATAGGACAGGAGCTGTCGGGGGACCCAGCAGCAACTGGACAAGCACGTGGTTTTGGCTGCTCGGTGCTCCTTCTCGTCAAATGGAAAAGATGGGGAGCTCTGGGGTCAGCCGGGAACAGGAGATGGCTGTACCTGCCGTCACTGCCCGTCCTTAGCCACTAAGGTGTTCAGTTGGCAGAGTGTGTTCCTCCAAACACAGTCTGAGGCACCAAGAACCTTCAACCTCTGGCCCATAGTATTTAAGAATACAAAAGTCTCAGAGCCATTGACGCAAACCACAGCTGGTGACAGTTCAGACTAATGGGCGAGTCTGGCAGAGTGACTAGTGCTGACTGCTCCCCTGGTGTGGACTCTCTCTGACCTCAAGCCTGAACTTCATCACATTTGTGAACACAGCCATCACATATGACAAATGCCAGGAGGTCATCTGAACCCAAAGCAGCAGCAGCAAGCACCATTGGCTGCTGGAAAGAACTGTAAGGCCCACAGTGGGCCGAACAGAACATCAGCAGCGCTTTCCAGACTCCAGGAATCTATGAACGTTGGCCCGGAGGCCTTGGGAGAAAGCGTCTTCTTAGTGCTGCTGCCAACAAGACATACTTAACTAAAGGCCTCACCAAAAGGATTTTTCTTTACAGACAAAGCAAGTTGCATGTGAAACTACAGACAACAATATGCAAACAATATGCAAAGGACGTATTATATTATGTATGAGCACCACCTGCACACAGTGCCACAGAGGCCAGAAGAGGACATTGGACCCCTGGAAAAGGAGGTATGGATGGTTGTGAGCCACCACGTGGTGCTGGGGACTCGACCTGGGCCCTCTGCAAGAGCGGCCGCTGCTCTCAGCTCCCTAGCCCTCTCTCCAGCCCTGTAAGCCACTTTTAAACGGAGACGCAAAGCAGTCCAGCTCAGGAGAGAGCACAGGTGAAGACCCTTGAGCTCCAGGGGATGGCTAACAGGTGGACTTAAAACACAGCGCTCTCTGAGTGAAGTCTGCAGCCCCCAGACCCACGGCCCTGTGAGAGACTGAGGACAGGGCCGAGTGGGTGTCAAGTCGCCAAGTGTTGAAATGGCAGACGGACTGCCCCCTGACTCTCTACTTTCTGACCGTGACAGACCAGCATTTTTCTGTTTCCCAAAGCTGGAGTGAGGTGGGGGTACGGCACCCTTGCATGAATGGGGTCCGAGGACCCTGACTAGGGACAAGGGGATGAAGAACACATGGACACACAGACGCAACAAAACTGAGGCCGGCTTGGCTGTGCTCACTCTGACGGGGTGGCTGCAGCACCCTAGAAGTTCAGCACGTGTACTACACACAGCTGAGCAGGGAGGTGGGTTATCATATGCTGGGGGCAGGGCTCATGGTATACAACTGAACAAGCAGGCAGGGTTGCTAATCTCTATAGGGGGCAGTCTTCTCCGGATTACAAGCATCTGCGGGGTGGGGAGAGGTTATGGTGAGCAGTTTTTGCACACACTTTCAACATCCACTCATGGACCAGAAGGGCTTTGAGTCCCCCATTCTCAGCTATGAGGGCAACTGTGTAGCCCCGCATGATCGGTAAGATGCCCTCCTCCTACCTGGGGAGCCTTGGTGAGTAGCAGAGCAACTTCAGGATTATTGTGGTAGCGGGCAGTCTCCAGCGGGGTCTGGCCTGCCTGAGGAAAGACACAGGGAAGACAGGTGACAAAGGGACCCCAGGCACGGGCAGTTCCGCTCTCCATAACACTCGGGTGGAAGGGCGGCTCCTGGGCCTCAGTCCCTCAGTGGAGTACATTAGCAAGGTTCACTAATGCCTCTTAGCCCAGAGGACAGGAAAAGGGAAGACCAAGAGGCCCTTCCTGCTGATCAGCACACGGGATCAGACAACCACCCACAGGCAGCCACAGGAGCAGTCTCCGCACAGAGCTACAGCCAGAGGTGGGCTGTATTAGACGCCAGAAGTGACATCAGGGGGACTCCACAGGAAAGCAGAGTGTGTCCTGGGAGTGTAGTTACCTTGGACAAGGTAACAGCAGCACCAGGCAGGTTAGAGCTATAAGGGAAGAGGGGGCGGGGTGCAGGCAGGGTGAGCTAGCCACAGAGACAAAGAAAGCCAGCTTCAGGCCCCAGAGCCTTGCAGGAAGAAGGGTGCTGGCTAGAGAAGCCACAGAAATGATCAGGCAGGCTGTGAAGAGGAAGGCACAGTCCTGGGGAGAAAGGCGGCGGGGCTCTCAGGTGGCTTCAAAGCTGAGAGGCCATTATGTATACAGTGTTCTGCTGGCATGTACGCCTGCAGGCCAGAAGAGGGAACCAGATCTCGTTACAGATGGTTGTGAGCCACCATGTGGTTGCTGGGAATTGAACTCAGGACCTCAGGAAGAGCAGCCAGTGCTCTTAACCTCTGAGCCATCTCTTCAGGGCCAGAGGCCATCTTGAGGCCCACATGCCAGCTTGGTGAGGACCCCTCAGAACTCTCTTCTTGCCAGGCCGTGCTCACCCCAGCCCAGTGTCTGAAAGAGTTAACTCCCGGGGTAGCTCAGAGCTCATCCAATCCAGATGAGGGCACCAGGGGCTATGGCCATGAAGCTCACTGAATCCTCAGGGACTGCAAGTCTGTGAAACTCACTGCTGCAGTTCAACTTACGTTGTTCACAATGGTCGTGTCAGCGCCAGCTTCCAGCAGGATTTTGACTACCTTCTTGTGATTTAGGGCAGCAGCCACATGGAGGGCTGTGTCTCCAACCTGCAAGCAACCAGAAGACAGCTTGCTAAACTCACATATTGGTCCCAGGCTAGCTATGCTTCTCTGCCTAGGACACTCTCCAAATCCAAACAGGATTTGCTCTACAAACATGAAGTTCACTGTGACAGTCTTGAAGAGACCCCAAAGCTGAAAGATCAATGCATTCATTTATAATATGGAGTCCAGAAGCCACAGACCAGGGTCACATATGTATGGCTAAGAGGACCAGTTGGATTGCTGAGAATGGAGGGCCTCCAAGCCTCTAGGAGATAGGCTGAGGTGCTAAGAGCGTGTCGCCCAGAGCTCTAAACCCTGTGAATGGACCAGGGAGCTCAGCTTGGCTTCTGAGCTGGCACTGAGGAAAAGTAGAGAGACTTGTAGGCTGCATGGATCAGGGACCCTGGGACAGTTCATCTGCAGGCTCAGGTGGGGACACTAAGGCCCAGGATTTGCTTAAGGCTTACTACGCTTCCCCTTCCAGCCCGTAAGTTTTCATACTCTCTTTATACAAAGTGTTCCCGGGTGATCAGCACTGAAATGAAGCCAGTTCCCAAAGGCGGGAATGACAGGTGTGGGTCAGACAAACACAGGAGAAATGAGATTCACCCTCCCCTGGCCGAGCAGACCAACAGCCCCAGTCTTCACTCATGGGCAGTGGGAAAGTTCAGCCATCTTTGAGTAGAGGCAAAAGCCTATTTCACCCCCATCACTGGTGCTGGGGAGAGCTCTGTGAAGTGACTCCCCTTCTTAAGAAGTGCTGGTGCCAGGGTCCCTCTCCTAGACCCGGTTTCACTCGTGTCCAGTGTGGGCTGGGTGTGGGGATCTCTGACGGTGGGGCTGAGATGGGAATGTTTTGTGTGTTTTTAAGTTCCATGCTGTCACGTGCTGCTAAGGCCGGTGGGTGGAGACTGAAAGGGGGGTAGCCTCTGCCCTGGAAGCCTGGGGAGTGGAGGGAGATGTACAACTGTCTCTGCTGAATGTACAGCACAGAGATTTTTGATTCTTTTACATGGGGTGGGACCCAAGGCAGCATCTTTTTTTTTTTTTTCCCTGTGGTTTTTACGAGACAGGGTTTCTCTGTATTGTTTCGGAGGCTATCGGTCCAGCCTGGCCTCGAACTCACAGAGATCCGCCTGCCTCTGTCTCCTGAGTGCTGGGATTAAAGGCGTACGCCACCACCGCCAGGCCCAAGGCGGCATCTTAATGTCCCCGATGGCTCTCCTAAGCATCCAGAGAGGGTAGAAGCCACTGTTATAGGGTATGTTTAATCTGTCCCACAATCTAAGTTTAATTCCAGGTTTAGGTACCCAGCTCGCCACAAAGGCAAACAGAAACAGGAGAGCCAGCAATTCACACAGAAGTGGCCGGGCAGGACTGGAACAGCAGAATTCACGAGACACCTATTTCGCTTGCTTCTTTTCTTCTTCTTTTGCTAATTTACATTTCTATTTTATGTACACTGGTGTTTTGTCTGCATGTATGCCTGTGTGAGGGTGTTGGGTCCCCTGGAACAGGGGGTCCAGACAGTTGTGAGCTGCCATGTGGGTGCTGAGAATTGAACCCAGGTCCTTTGAAAGAGCAGCCAGTGCTCTCAACCATCTCTGCAGCCCTCCGCCCTTGCTTCTTTTCTAAACCGCGCTCCTTTGTGTAGGTTTTCTTGATAAGATCATAGTATAATCAAAAGTCACGGTTCACCCTGTAACTGTGGGGATAAGCACAGGAACGGATAGATGTGTGTCCAAGGATGGAGGCAGCCAGACAGGCCAGAGACATTGCGTCAGTACTGGTGGGGTCCCAGGTGAGCCCCAGGGCAGCACCTCCCAGCAGCCTCTACCCCGTCCCTACCCATTAGGCTGCCCTTGTGGGGACACGGCCTGCGCCCATGGAGAGGTATGTGCACTGACCTGGTTCTTTTCATGAACAGAGCAGAACGCGCTGAGGAGGAGTTTAATGATTGACAAGTGATTATACCGAGCAGCCACGTGCAAACAGGTGTCTCCCGCCTGTGGATGAAATCAAAGTCTCAACACCCTGAGCAGTTACAAAGCCTAACAACAAAAAGGCCATCACTTAAGAGCAGGCAGACAACTCTCTGTGCTGTAGGGAGTGTAAGCCTGAACTATAAACCACCCCTTTAACACAGCGGCTCCAATCCCAAGACCCTTTGCTTGGCTTTGCTTTTGTGTATATAAAACTAGATACTGCTCTTCATGGGCACTGTGGGACAGCTAATGTGGGTGACAGGCTCCACAGACCCTGGCCTCCCCTACAACAGTGTCTGGAATAAGCAGAGTTAGACAGACAGCATTTTGGAATGAGTTTCCCAGCAGAGACCTATGGCAGCCGGAAGGATGCTAAAATCCTCCGTGGAGCAATACAGTCTAGGGAGCAGATGAATCAGAAAATCTCAGAATCCTTCTTAGTGGGAAAGGCCAGACTCCACTGTCTGTGACAACACAGAGACAGACCTCCACGATGGTTTGCAGGCTCCCACTGGCGTTTTCCATCTGTTGAGATGATCACGACCACTAAGCAAAGTGAATTCTAGAGTTATATCATATAAGTCTGCCCCAAACGGGGAGATATTGGCAATTTCTGAGAAAAGCTTAAGCCACAGGCTCTCCTCAGAAAACACAGGAAGGTCTTTTAGTGACACATTCGACAACCACTGCCCTGCCTGCATGTGATAACTAAAGGATGCTGTAGTTATCAACAGCTGCCCTTGGAAGAGGCTAGGTACTGAGTGTCACAGGACAGCCCTGCCTGGTACTGGCCCAGACAGCAGTGCAATGCTCTACTGGATACCAGACATTCTTAAAGCATTTAAAACACTTGTCCTCTTGGGCTGGAGAGATGGCTCAGTGGTGAAGAGCACTGGCTGCTTTTCCAGAGGTTCTGAGTTCAATTCCCAGCAGCCACATGGTGGCTCACAACCATCTTTAATGAGATCTGGTGCCCTCTTCTGGTCTGCAGGGATGCATACAGACAGAACACTGTATAGATAAATAAATTTAAATAAAAAAAAGAAACCACAAACACAGTTGTTCTCAATCTTCTTAATGCTGCAAACCTTTAATAAAGTTCCTCATGTTGTGGTGACCCCAACCATAAAATTATTTTTGTTGCTACTTCATAACTATAATTTTGCTGCTGTTATAAATTATAATGTAAATATGTTTGGGTATAGAGGTTTGCCAAAGAGCTCACTACCCACAGGTGAGCTTTCTAGTCCTGACAGACACAGAAATGATAAAGTAAACTTGAGGCACAAATGGAGAAAGTAGCATTTTTTCCCTAAATGACCCCTTGAAAATTAGCAAAAAATTAATTTAGAGATTAGGCCCCAAACACTCTGGCACTTTAGTTTCTAGATATTGACACTGACTCTGCCTGGGGGTTTCTTTTCCAAGTTAAGACAACAGAGAGTGACCCAGAGACACTGATACTTTCACCCACGTTATTTTTGAGGTCAGCCCGGGAGCCGCCCAGCAGGAGGACGCGTGTGCTCTGGGAGCGACTGTTCTGGCAGGCCAGGTGCAGAGCTGTGTTCCCTGCCTGGGAGAGAGGAGGACAGAAGGGAGGACACGTTAGCAGCATACGCCTGCACAGACTGGCCGTGCACACGGAGAGTCTTACTCAGGAAGAGGCCAGCCATTGTCACATTATGCATCATGATAGGGATCCCAACTGGTGTTTCAGATACAAGAACCATGAATAAGGACTTCAAATGGCTGTTCCCTCTGTCCCCAAGCTTTGGCTCTGAGCTCTACCTCTGCCCCTCCTGAGTTAAAGCCATACAGAAAAGCACTTCCCATGCTCAGGCTGACTTCTTGACCAGAAACGGAGCTCGGGCTCTCCTTCCCGAGGCCCTGAGCATGAGTCATTGGTCCTTGTATTATTTCCTGGACCACAAGCATGGGTGCAGCTCTGAACCTGTTCAGCATAGGCAGTAGCTGGGCTCGAATACTCTGGGACTGGTGGGGGTGAGGCTAACATGTGACTTGAAGCATGCACTGCGATACCTGTTTTTCAGTTTTTTACATCACAAACACGTGAACTGTGGAAAAAGGTTGACCTTAGAGGCAATACTGCTGCTAACCACACTTAAGCACCACCTGAGGAAAATGTCCACAATAATTTCGCAAATGCCATCATGTGAAGAGATCTCTTTGATTCTAGGGGAACAGCTGCAGATAACCCTAGAAGAGCGTTTTCTCGGTACTTATGGAAAAGCAGGTAAGATACAGTGAGCAGCTTGCGGTGGTTAAATCCTGGCTTGGGCTGTGTCCTGCTGACCTTAAGAGCTGCGGTCGCCCCCCTAGCCCCCTGCAGCTTTGTGCATTCCTCCCCTCGCCTGCCCTCCCCTCGACCTCACGGCACGGTCAGGGAAACTCCAGGTATTATACTCCTTTTGAAAAGAATACCACAGCATTTGGAGAAGATAACAAGCAAATAAATTAAAACTGAATCACCAGTGCACTCCTTCTCATAACCGTGGCTCTAATCAGCCTGTTTGGGTATTATCACCAGGGATGAGGAGGAAGGCCAGCCAGTGGCCTGATGAGGTAGACCGCCTCAACCCTCCGTGTCACCCTCGCTGCACACCAGAAGCTCCTGGGGACAGGACTGTGGCCCTGTTCCGGACTCAGATTTCCTCAAGCTGGGTGAAGGCCCATCTAGCAGTCCACATCTGAGAAATCTCTCTGAAAATCAAGCGTAGCTTAGAGCTGCCTTGGTTTTGTTTTGTTTTTGTTTTTAGGTTTTAATTTCCAGGCTGAGAACATGGCAAACTTAGCTGCTTTCCCAGCAAAGCGTCTACTTATGTCTAAACACTCTTGATCTCTGAGCTGTTGACTTCAGGGCAGTGGTTAGATATGTGATAAAAATTTGAATGAAATAAAAGAAGTCCAATGGTTCTAGAAATGGAGCACACCAAAATTTACTTTGCCACTAAGAAATATCAATGGTGTGTGAAATTACTCAGATCAAGAAAAAGGCAACATTGGGCTGGAGAGATGGCTCAGAAACGAGCACTGGCTGCCCTTATGAGGACCCAGGTTCAATTCCCAGCACCCACAGACAGATCACAACCATCTGATGTCTTGTCTGGCCTCTGCAGGTACCAGGCACACATGTGTGTACATATATTAATGTAGGCAAAACACTAATACACATGAAATAAAATGGAGAGAGAGAGGGGGAGAGAGAGAGAGAGAGAGAGAGAGAGAGAGAGAGAGAGAGAGAGAGAGAGAGAGAGAGAGAGAGAGAGAGGGAGGGAGGGAGGGAGAGAGCGCACAGCCAGGGAAACCATGGACACAGAGTGTGGTTACTAGGGGCTCTGAGGGACTGACCAGGGACTGCCACAAGAGTACAAAACAGCCTTTCTGAAGTGACATTCTATGTTGGTGTTGGCAGTTACACAACCACACACATTTGTCTGAACTCATGAGACATGATTCATTCCTAAAAAACAGACTTTATGTAAACCCCACCTCCAAACCTGCCATTAAAAATGTGGCCTACGGTGGATGCAAGATCAGCACCCTAAATGATGGGTCCTAACTCTCCAACATGATGCTGCTTTGGCTGAATAAGAAGCACTTTCTAGAAGATTTCTCAGAAACTGTCTGCAGAATGCAAGCATCCCCCGTTGGACCCTGAGAAAGAACTAGGGGCTTTCCACACTCCTCTCGGAGCCCTACATGGCAAGGGGACAGCATGTCGCAGCAGACAGACCTGGGCTGCTTTCTGGCCCTAAAGGTGTCCCACACTCTACTAGCTCCAGCTCAAACTCACTCGTTCACAGACCAAGACAACCCGTTTCTCAGTTGGTATAAAAAGGAAGTACAGACTCTGCTCTGTCTTGAAGAAACGGAACAACCTCGCCCGAGAGCATATGAGGCAAGCATTCTGATCACATGCTGTCTGCAGGGTCCCACTGCCCATGAAGGAGCCACAAGAAATGTGACCACAAAGCTGCCCCAGGATTGCTGCGGAGCAGCCCAGTGGGCCTCTGGGAAGGCCTGGGTTAGATGGCTGTAGGCAGAGGTGTTTTAGGCACCACAGCAGGTGAGGCCCAAAGAAGTCACAGCACTGATGGAGACCATTCCTGATTGGCTGGTTAGTATCAGCCTAACCTGCTACTCAAGACCTTGTGTGATGATGTGTGTGCAGGATCTTGGGCTACAGATACTTGGTTTCTTGACCTACAGTTCCAGACTCTGTGTGTGTCTCTGTAGGTGTTGTGTGTGTGTGACTCTGTGTGGTGTCTCTGTCTGTGTATGCATGCGTGCATGTGTATGTGTGCGTGTCTCTGTATGTGTGTGTGTCTGTGAGTGTGTGTATGTCTGTGTATCTCTGTATGTGTTGTGTGTGTGACTCTGTGTGTGTGAGTACGTATATGTGTGTGTGTGTGTGTGCCTCTGTGCTGTGTGTGTGTCTCTGTGAGTATGTATCTGTGTGTGTCTGTGTGTGCTCGTGTGTGTAAGCCTGTATGTATGTGTGTGTGACTGTGTGTGAGTATGTATATGTGTGTGTCTGTGCGTGTCTCTGTATGTGTGCATGTATGTGTGCTTGCGCACGCGCGAGTGCACGTCTATGTTTGTGTGTGTGTGTGTGTGTGTGTGTGTGTGTGTGTGTGTGTGATGTTGAGCATGCTTCTCATGCTGTTCCTCCCCAGGCACAGACTCAGTACTCCTACACCTCTCTATGTGACACCACCAGCCAGGTTCACCAACCAAGCAAGTGCAACTCTTCAACATTACTGCAAATATTCTAAGAGTGCTGACAATGTTTCTTTTACTTTTAAAATAATTTACATCTCTTCTCCTAATGGTGGAAGAAATAATCAGTTCAGTTTAGAAACTTTGGGAAAGGTACAAAAGTAAAACACAACCAAAAATTAGTAAGTCTAAATTCAAGTAGATAACCACAGTTAATATTCCCGTGATACCTTTCCAGGCTTAGTTTTTACAAAATGTAAATTCACATTAGCATTGAGGCATGTATGTTTGACCATGTAGTCCTCTGTCATGCTCTTTCATGATTCATAACATAGTCATTGAAACTGTGAGTTAAATTATATTGTGTTTATGCTGAGTGAATGACTTTACATTCCTGTCCTGTGTTTTTTTACCATTTTACGTATTGCTGTCATAGAAATACTTAAGGATAAAGTTTTCCTAGATACTTTGCTGCTTTAAGAACCGAAACCTGGGATAGCAGCTACCACACAAATAGGCAGGAAGTTCTTTTCCTTTTAGGTGATGCCAGGGATTGACCTGGGGATCTTGTGCATGGGAGACAAGTGCTCTAGCCTATATCCGCAATCCTGCAGAATCACTTTCGTTTTACAGCTTGCCTCCCAAAGGCAGCCGACTGCTCCAATTCCATGTCCCCAGCCCACTTCACCCTACCATGCTGCTACTGACTGTTGGTTTTCTGCCAACATTTTCCATGCCAAGCTGTCCTTCTGTAATAGTGTCAAATGACGAGGACAGGGTCCCCGCAGCGGCCAGGGGTCTCTCACACTAGCGGGTCTCATCCCTGTGGCACACTTACCTGCCTGGGGCACTAGCCCTCCTACTTCTGCAGTGAGCCTTCTAGGTGAGCCTGCCCTGCAGGGTTCTCCAGGCCCCAGCGAGCTCTGCCTGGTGCTTCTTCTCATGGACAGGACACAAACCAGGACAAAGATTCCCATGTCCCTCATCTGTGAAGGAGGAGCTCAGCTGCTGGGCCTCACCTTGTTCCTGGCAAGCACGTTGGCTCCCGCTTTAACAAGCAGCTTGGCTGACTGGCTGAACCCATGCCAGGCGGCTTCATGGAGGGCTGTATTCCCATCCTGAGTAAACACAGTGGAAGACAGCACATTACCCAGGGTCTGGCTCTTCTCGATAAGACAACACATGGTGGTGGCTATAGGGCCTTCCTCAGTGGGGCCATCGGAACCACAGAGCACAGATCTGAGTGACAAGTCTCTCCGTTCTCCTAGCAACAGCAGAGGACAAGAGCTGTTTAGGACACACGGAGGAGGAACAGCAGGTGGGTGCCTGGGTCAGGCCTAAGTCTGCTTGGAAGCGCGCCATCCAGAAAGGCTCTAAGGCCTCCCACAACTTGTCCCCAGAAACAGCAGGCTTGGGATGGCCCACTGTCACTCCTTCCCACCTCCGCTGTCCCCTGTGCCCCACTATTTTCCTGAAGCCAGAAGAATCCTTGCAATTGGGCCTTATAAGGCCCAGGAACCCAGTAGGTAGATGACTCCACCAACCCCATTTCTTCACCCAAAACTTTTATTATGTTTTTAAGAGAGCACTATTTAGCCCTGGCTGGCCTAGAACTCCATATGTAGACTAGGCTGGCCTCAAATCTAGACATCCTGTGATAGCTAAGATTAAAGGCACATGACTGGGCGGTGGTGGCACACACCTTTGATCCCAGCACTCAGGAGGCAGAGGCAGGCTGATCTTTGCGAGTTCAAGGCCAGCCTGGTCTTCAGAGCGAGTTCCAGAACAGCCAAGGTTACACAGAGAAACCCTGTCTCCAAAAACCAAAAAGATCAAAGGCATGTAACACCATACCCATCTCTTCATCAAAATTTAGTGGTCTCTAGCTTAGTATAAAAGCCCCAGGATTCTAAATGACCAGTGAAGAAACAATGATTGTAAAAAAGCCAAACAAGATTTCTAGATACAAGGGTTTTAAACACAAACTAATGGAATGGCTCCCATTTGCTTATGAGAGAGGGATGAAATATGGACAGGTCGGAACGCACATGTAAGCATGCTCAGGGCAGGAGTACACTCCCATCCAGAGACGTGCCCAAAAGAGCTAGGGCCCAATGCACCCGGCACCCACAGGAGGACAGCCAGGCTTCCAGAGACAAGGCTGGGAAGGGCGAGGGGCCACGAGGCTGAGCCAGGACCATTATGGGAGCAGCGAGAGGCAGGGAGGCTGAGAAGGCCTGGGGCTGCAGAGGCACTGCTCCTGACCGGGAGCCTTCTGATGGGCTGAGGAGCATCGTGTGCACTGACATCTGTGCACTTTTCTGCACATATTCACTCTTTCTAATGAAGAGCTGGGGGGCACAGAGGCTGTTCTGCACTTAAATGCAAAGTCCCACATTTTAAGACTTGACAATTTAAAAACATCTGGTTAGGACACATGCATCATTAGGATTCTGTGAAGAAAGAAATTATTCGGTTCTCTCTTTTTCTTCAAAGCTAAAAACTTGAACTTGTTTGCGCATTTAGGAAACAGAGCCTCTGAGGGTGCCTTTCACCCACTTCAGTGAACTTTCACAGACTTTTGTTTTGTTTTGTTTTTGCTGTTTTTTTTTTTTGAGACAGGGTTTCTCTGTGTAGCCTTGGCTGTCCTGGAACTCACTCTGTAGACCAGGCTGGCCTCGAACTCACAGAGATCCGCCTGCCTCTGCCTCCCAAGTGCTGGGATTAAAGGTGTGTGCCACCACCGCCACCGGGCTTTCACAAACTTCCACACGGACCTGGACTAAAGCTGTTAGCACAGAGGCACAGACAGTGGCAAGGGCTTGTAAGCAAACACACCTGCTGGGGCCCTGACCTTCCAGAGAAATCTGGGTTGACCTCTCATTGCGAGGCAGGAGAAGGACAATATCACAGCAAGTCATGCTGGCTCCTCTGCCCCGGGGTCCTGCAGGCCACACCGTCCCTCTTACCTTGTCCTGTCTGTCCAGGGCACATCCCTCGCGGATAAGCGCTGTGATGATCTCAGTGTTTCCCACCACAGTGGCCCGGTGCAGAGCTGTCTGGTCCCCCTGGGAAGTGACACAGAAGAACAGCAGGGTTCTCTGGTGGCCGCCAAATCACTTCTTCCTTAAGACACCAGGATGTCTCCTGTCCTCTCAAGGAGACTGGCTACTCGCAGAAGGGCTTGGTCACCACAGCCAAGGCAAGCTTTGGGGTTCTATTAGTGGAGTGCACACGGGTTCTCACATCCATAGCAAGAGTAGCTTTACACTCAGGTCTACCACTGAAGGAGAGTCAGCCTCCTTCCAGCTACCCTAGTGGGGGCGTGTCGGGGAGCCAGGCTGTGTACGCCATTCAGTTCAACCAGCAACTCCTGCAATACTTATTCCCCACTAGGTCCCCAGGCCCAGGTTAGAGAGGACTCACTCTCCAGTTTGGCGGTTTAAGGGCCTCGTGCTTTGATGGCAGGTGTGGAATTTGTTCACTGATTTGCACTAGCCGAGAGCAGGGATGAGAGGCCCCTGGACTGCGGCCTCTCGCTGCGTATTTCTGAGATACCTCCTGCTGATGGGTGCTGGCTTTCCCAGCACCACATTCCTGGGATTGACAGGTTTTCTCCCAGGGCACTAGAAGAAAAGGACTCTTTCCCAGCTGTGGCAGAGAGGACATATAAACACCCCGGAGGCGAGAAGAAGGCCACAGTGACAGGAGAGGGGAGGGCTCTGAGCTCCGCGCTTCTGGGAGCACAGTTCATCTCCGGCACGCACGCCGGAGTCAAATCAAGTAAGTCTGAGGTCCAGGCTTGACAGGGGAGATGGGTGAGCAGTGCGGATGTTTTCGGGTGTAAATAACGAGTGCAGGGCCAGGGGATGAGGAGAACGGGGTTGTGTACAGCTCTGGTATAGAGTGATCAGCTTGCTGAGCCTCAGGACCCTCACAGGAAAAGGCAGGGCCATGGCTCTCTTCCCTTTGGGATTCAGTGATTCGGCTGGGAAGATTTACAGTAGTAAATTTTCCAGACACACACAGAGGGGCAAGGAACACACTCCTGAACTCCCCTGGAGCCTAGTCCAAGAGAGGCAGGGGTCTGTGGAAGACAGACAGCAAAGAACAGCTTGGGGGGTGGGGAGATGCTGCAGCACTTACTCTGGTAGCTTGGAAGAGACAGTGGCCTCACTGAGACTCATCACAGAGACACACATTAAAGACAGGTAATCCAAGAGGAAAACTCTGGAAATAGACCGTGGTGACCAGTATGCCACTCAGCCCTAGCCAAAACACACATGTACACACAAACACTGGCAGACACCTGTAATCTCAACACTTGGGGCAAAGGCAGGTGGGTCATGTGGTTACGGCCAGACTGAGCTACATAGTAAGATTGCATTTACAAAACAAAACAAAATAACCTCAAACAAACAACCTTCCCCCACCAAACAAAAAAGCAGACAACAACAAAAATCTGTCTGCTTTTCTTAAACTTAAAAAAAAATCTGTCTTTAAAAATCCAAGAGGAGGGGACTGGAGAGATGGCTCAGAGGTTAAGGGCACTGGCTGCTCTTCCAGAGGTCCTGAGTTCAATTCCCAGCAACTACATGGTGGCTCACAACCATGTGTAATGAGATCTGGCGCCCTCTTCTGACCGGCAGGCATAAATGCAGACAGAATACTGTATACACAATAAAAAAATCTTAAAAAAAAAAAAGCCCACGGGGCGTTGGTGGTGCATTCCTTTAATCCCAGCACTGTGGAGGCAGAGGCAAACAGATATCTGTGAGTTCGAGGCCAGCGTGGTCTACAGAGCAAGTTCCAGGACAGCCTCCAAAACAATACAGAGAAACCCTGTCTCAAAAAACCAAGAGAAGGAGGCTGGAGAGATGGTTCAAGACTACTTGCTGCTCTTGCAGAGGACCTGACCTGGGTTCAGTTCCCAGCACCCACATGGCTACTCACAGCTGTCTATAACTCCAGTTCCAGATCTGATGCCCTCTTCTGGCTTCCATGAGCACCATGCATGCATGGAGTATGCATACTTATATGTAGGCAAAATACTCAAGCACATAAAATATTTTTTAGAAACTTTTAAACCACAAGAAGTGATTTTAACCCCCCCCCCTTTTTGAATACTCATGGGTTGCTAGTGAGGAGCTGCCATTAATAGTCCTACACAACTTAGACCAAGAATACCACCCAGCAGGCAAGGTGAACCCACTGGTGCCACAGTGGTGATTCTGGGGGTGGGGGCGTAGTGGTTTAAATGATATGTTCCCCATTTAGGCTCATATGTTTGCATACTTGGTCCTCAGTTGGCGGACCTGCCTCGGGACAGCTCAGTGACCTTGTCTGATGAGGCGTATTACTGGGACTGGATTTTAAGTTTTCAAAACACTTGGACTATTCCCAATGTGTTCTCTCTGCCTCATGCTTGAGGATCAAGATTCAAGCTCTTGGGTCTTTCTGCCGCCATGTCATCATGGACTCTAACCCTCTGAAACCATAAGCCCAAATAAACACATTCTTTGTAAGTTGCCTTGGCCAGGGTGTGTTATCACAACAATATAAAACTAAGATGGGGGAGGGGTAACCACCTGCTTGATGGTTAGATTTGATGCCTATTCCACAGGAGAGCATTCACATCCGGTAGTATAAACTTAGTCAGGGACCTGCGGCTAGGGAGGTCATAGGCCCTAAGTGGGGAAGCTATGGCTCCTGCTGGCATGGACATGATGTGCCTCTCAAATCAAAACAGGAACTTGCTCTCTTGTCTGCTGAGACGCTAAGGAGGAAAGGTGTGAAGGTGGCTTGCTCCTTCTCTAATCTCTCAGCATTTTCCTCTATATCTGACTCTGGGTTTTTATTATCTAGACCAATTAAGAACTCCATTTACATTTTGGCACCCAATGTGGAGCTCGAACCCATGACCCTGGGATTAAGAATTCCATGCTCTTAACCACTCTGTGAATGACAGGCATTCTGCCAAACATTCCTTGGGTCAATTGGAGCAAACTTTTTAGAAGAGACGTGCATTCTGTATTCTGTGCAAATTGCAGGCAACATGCCCCAAGCATACAGGTCTTGTCAAAGGATCCCATGAAGGGCTTGGTTCAGGGCAACCATTTCACCTTGTTCCATAAGCTGCTCCTGAACTCGAGAGCCAATGCAGCTTTGAACTCGAAAGCCAATGAGCTTTGGGTCAGTGTAGCACCATTGTTAACTATGTCTTTTCTCACCCTTGGAACCTATTTGCTTCCTTTGAGACAACTTCTCTTTGCAAAACTTGATGCAAGCAGCTAAGCCTAAGTGTCAGATTGGTTCTTAGCATGGCATTTCCAAGTGGATTGTCAAGATTCAAGGAGATCTCACACTGTGTGCAGCTGCAGCGAGAAGCCAAGCTGTCCCAAGCCCACTGGCCCATTCAGTTGCAGTCTTGTCTGCAAGACCCCGACCCCTTCCTGCTTTTTTCTTCCACTGAGAGCTTGGCTCCTCCTTCCCGTGTCTATTACTGCTGTGCAATGGCACTTGGCCCTGCTTTCCATGGCAGGACAAACAGCGCTGCTCACAGTGGCTAGACCGGTTCCAGCAGACACTTCCTCCAACTCTTATAAGCGAGGCATCTTAGGTTACTAAGATGAGAAGACAAAACACGGGGAGAAAGACTCCCTCCAGCCATCATGGAGCTACTTTCTCTCTAGAACACACAACACAGTAAAATCCAGACCCTTAGCTGAAGTATGCTCAGTTACATGAAAATCAATTTTTACTCCTACAAAATTAAAACTACTAATATATTATTAGTATATATTATTATTGTTATGTTATAAATATATCACTATCTATATGTCCTCTTCAAAACATAATATAAAGATATGCTTGACCTACAAGAACACCCATGGAGCAATGCTGACAAAACCCTGTTTGAATAGAGTCTGAATCAACCAGGAAATTCTGGAACTGAAAAGAAAATGCAGAAGAAAGCCCAGCTCTGTCAACACATCTTCTCAATATTCACTCAGTATTTATTGATCCCTAACTATGTGCCATGTGATGCTCTTGTTGTCTTGATAAAGCTCACCTAGGACAGCTATCTAATTCAAACTGTCAAGGCTCCAGCTTTCCAACCCAGTTCACCTCAGCACTGGTCTTCAAACGGGGACGGGGTCTCTGTGAGGTGGGGGCTGCAGGTGTAGGGTGCAGCATCGAGGCCAGTCTCCAAGCCACCCAGGACCTATGTGTTGAGTGATTAACTGAGAAGAAGCAAAGGACGAAACCAGAAGCAGCTGCAACACTGCAGTCGGCACTCTGGTTTGACATGCTAACCTGTTTGCAAACAATATGGACTCCAGCACTCGGTACTCCCGAGACGGCAGTGTTCTCAGTCCAGAGCGTTGCAACCTGAGCTCTAAATCTTTGTTCTGAAACACTTACATTTCCGTCTCCTGTGTAGTGAAAGCATTGGGTGTTCCAAAGCCAAGCTCACGGGAGAAGGTCCAGTCATGCAAGGGCGGAGTACACCCACTTTGGGAGGAAGCCCCCAGGGACCCAAGCAAACATCCTGTTGTAAGCAAACCCTCCACCAGGTAGGCAGGCAAAACAGGGTGCTGACCTCGTCTCTCTCAGATCTTCTAGGGTCCTTCCTAGCCTTTCTTCTCTGCTTTCTCTTATTTTTGTCTTCCTTCATGCTTTTTACTGAGGCCACAGGGTCCTGGACTATTTCTGGGGTAGGAGTCATGTGATTACTCATTGACCAATCAGAGATGGCATTTGAGCTCCACTGGGAGTTGATAGGATTAGCGGGAAACAAGACAGATTTTGCTCTGGGAGTTGCAGGTTGAAACTCATAATAATCCCACTCCAGGCCACTGGAGGTCATTCTTCCTCTAATTCTCAGATATTACCATGCCATAAACATCAGTATCTGCAGAATATGAAGTCAGAAATGAATCATCAAAGTCAACATTCTGTTTCTACTCATCTCCCAGACAGGGAGCTTCTAAAGTGACTCCCCATAGTTAAGTTCCCTCCTTTTTAATGATAATAAAGCAATTTGTTTGTATTTTGTGGACATCTAAAAACGGACTGTCAACAGGCATGGTGAGTCCACAGGAAACAGCTGAGTGTGGCTTCAGTGCCGCCTTCTCAGGTTTTCACGCGGTCTGCTGTCGAGTGTTGTATTGTTATATGGAGAAGCGAGGCATGCATTGTCTGTGCAGAGCGGGAAAGGATGTAAAAGACCCAGTGACTCAAACGAGAGAGGTGCGTCACCTAAACGCAGGGCTGGCTTCCCTCCTGCCCTGGCTCACCAGGGCTTCGTGTGCCGTGAGAATTCTTGCCTTCTCTGCTTCCTCCATATCTGAAACATCAGCTGAGTGAGACCACAGCAAGCCTCAGAATCAGGACCTGAGTGGGGGTGTTTGGTTGGCATGGGCTGGCATGCCTGGCATTGTGACCTTGCCATGGCGGCAAGCCAGAACTTTAATTATCAAAGAGAAGACGAGATAATCCCAACATGCTTGTACCAGCTACTTGAGGCCGCACCTTCCCTTCCATCATTTATTTATACCCTCTCCCTGTATTTCCTCCTGTCCTCAAAGGAGAGGATATGGGTCAGGAATGTTATATTGGTCATAGTGTAGAAAATAAAGCGTTATGACCAAGGTGAGAATCAACAGCTTAAGGCTAAATCAGCATTTTTGAGAATAACACCCTTGTGACCCCATAGGATTCAGATACAACCAAAGATTTATATGAAATGCTGATAACCCTCTGCCCATGCATAAAACTAGTCCATGAGCTTGCCTGCCTGCCTGCCTGTACAGACAGGGTTTCATGTATCCAAGGCTAGCCTGTACAAACAGGGTCTCTTATGTTCAAGACTAGCCTCTAACTTGTTAGGTAGCTAAGCCATTTGTGTTTGTCAAATTTTAGGATAGTGTACAGAGTTGCAAGGAAAATTCCAAGTAGTGTTATTAGAAGAAATTATTACAAGGCTAGACTCTGTAAGGTGCTGTTTACTCACAGGGCTTTCATTTCCTGAAATTGTACCATATCATCAAGAGATGAAGGGGGGGGTGCTGGAGAGCTGGCTCAGTGGTTAAGAGTAATGGCTGCTCTTTCAAAGGACCTGAGTTTGGTTCCCAGCACCCACATGGTGGTTCACAACCATGGGTAACTCCAGTTCCAGGAAATCCAAGGGCCCATTCTGATTTCTGCTGGTACCAGGCATCACAGATGCACATGTAAGCACCCAAGAGAAAATAAAAAATAGAAAGAGTTGAAACAGTTTCTTAAGATAGTTCCCAGTCACATTGCCATAGGGATTGTTCCTAATAGCTCACTGGAGGACAACTAATGACATCATTCCTCAGAGACCCCACCTTCTCCAAAGACCCAAGAGACTCTGCTGTGCAGTCCCACTTGGCCAGTGCTCATAGACTCAGAGGGACAGACGATGCTGGAGGAGCCAGTGGGAGTCTCTCCCAACAATCTGGGTGGGCATCTCAGTGAGCTGATGGGAGTCACATAACAATCACATAGACCTACCAGTGAACTCGTACAAGAGGTCTTGTTCTTGCATAAGCCCCCTTTCCCCCTATAGTTGGAATGGGACTTCCAACTAAATGAACACTAACTGTGGGGGGAGTGGGAGAGTTAGGCCTCACTTTTTTTCAGCAGTGAATTTGGTTGATGACACCCACATCCAATGGGTCTTTCCCGCACTCACTGATAGAGTGTACTAAAACAGGGCAAAGTGAATGCCCTCAGAGACTCGGATGCTACTGGGGTGATAGAGAACCACAATCGAAGAGCTTCGTGCAAGCTAGTATACCGCTGAGAATGGGTCTCCCAGAAGGTAGCCCCAAGTACATGTTTTGCCAGCACAGGGACCAGGCTAGAGCCAAAACCATTCTGGCAATACCTAGTCCCCTCCCTCCTCACGCTGCTGGCATCTGCACTGAGGACTGCTACCGCAGACAAGCTCCCCTGCCAACCCTTCTCTGGAGGGAACGATGCTTGCTTCTACTTACATCATCCTGCACATCGAGGTCGCAGCCAGCCTTCAGCAGAATCTGGACCACAGACAGATGACCCTTGTTGGCAGCAAGGTGCAAGGGGGTCCGGCCATGCTGTTGATGCAAAGGAGACATTTGGTTTCAGAACTAGACACACCACGGGGCAGGACACTCAAGCCAAGAGGACACACCAGCTTTTAAGAACATCCCTGTCCCTAACCCCAGCTGTCCTTTTGCCCTGGCAGGAGATTCACAATGAATTTATTCAGAATTCAAGTTGCTTTGGTTAACACTGGTCATTGGCACAGTAACTGACAAAAAAAAAAGTGTTCTTCTGAGAGTGGTGCCTTTATGCCTTTAATCCCAGAAAAATCAGGTGGATCTCTGAGTTCCAGGCCAGCCAGGGCTACATAGTGAGATCTTTTCTCAAAACACTAATAATAATAATAAGTTGCTAAAAAGCAAAGATTTCCCTAGTGCATACTTTTTATGTCCTTCTCTCTTTAGTGACAGACTATGGGGCTTCTCGTCCTCGCATTTCCCACTAGTGCTAATGCCATGAGATGGTGAAGGGCTGTGACAATGATCTGGCAGGACCATGGGCAGAAGACAAAAAAAAAGTCAAACCCACCGGCTCCTGAAGATCTAGTCAATAACGCCATAAAGTTAAAAGCCATAGCTAAGCGGTGGTGGAAAAGTCCTGCTTCCTTTTAAAAACAGATTTTTAAAAGAATGAAAATATAGTATATTAAGATCCACATGCTGGGAGTTGGTGGCACACCAGCTTTAATCTCAGCTCCAGGGAGGCAAAGGCAGGAGGATCTCAGTAAGTTTGAGGCCAACCTGGCCTACAGAGTGAGTTCCAGGACAGCCATGGCAGTTACACAGAGAAATCCTGTCTTGCAAAAACAAAACAAAACAACAACAACAACAACAACAACACCCCCCCAAAAAACCCCCACATATTTGCCAACAATTAAAAAAAATCAGAGACACTGCTACTGTTCCTGTGACTTCCCTCCCAGGTCTCTCTGTGGCCCCCAAGAACTAACCTTTCTTTCCAATGTGGCCTTTATCTTTCCTTTGCCTTTAGTTACACTGTCACTCCCTTGTGTGGCCAGGGGCAACATCCAGCTTATTGTTTCAAACGATGTCAGCATGTTAAGCAACAGAGTACCATTTAGCTTTTCTTTTTGCATTTTGTTTGTTGTTGGGTTTTGCTCAGGTTTCCTACTGACCACCCAGATGTTCCCTGCAGCTGGCATGGAGATGCCCAGGTGCTCCCTGCGGATGGCACCGAGATGGGCTTCTGGGTTTGTGGGTGCCCACGGGGTGTGATGCCCAAAAGAAAGTGCACTTTTCTGGGTGTATATTAGCTTATCTCCAGGGAACTGACCTTGTCAAACTCCTACCTCTCTAGGCTCTCACAGAGACATCCTGTTTCCCCTTGGAATTCACTATCTAGACAAGTTCAAGTGACTATGGCATTTGAGGAAAGGGAGCTCATGGGGCCTTACATCCAGCTTGGCATCTCACTAAGAAGCCGCTGCCTTTATTGATATTCTAGTGGGGTAGGCATGTTTATCTTCTCGATAAAGCGCCAGTCTGCCAGATAACCAACCATGGAGAAAACAACAGACAAAATAAGGATCTTAATTCCTAGCCGTGAAATCCAATCAAAACAGTAGAATGAGTCTGCAAAGAAAGAGGCCAGAGCTTGCTTTAAAATTAGAATTCTTAATTAAAGGACAAAGTTACTCCCAAGAATTATACTATCAAAAACCTTCACAAGAAAAGGCAAGGTCAGAGAAGAGACAAAGGACTGACCTTTCTCCTCTCACCACGAGCTACCTAACCTTGATCCTTCGGGGAGATGTCCACAGTGTCCCAGATGGAGGAAGGTGACTGGGTTTTAATCACTGGGCTCAGGCTCCGACTGTCATCGCATGTCCTTGTGAATGACCTCATATCTCAACACTGATTAAGGGACCTTCACAAAGCTTTCTAAGGCACTCTGAATCTCAGGCAGTTTGTCATGGGGGTAAGGGAATAGATATGCGTACTGTGAGGGCAGAGACACTGTAGTGAAATACAAGTGCCTTAAACAACAAGACAACAGAGCAAGGCAGGAGACAGGGGTCCAGACTGCTTGGAAAGAAGCCAGACCCAGAGCCACAGCCCAAGGAGCTGTGGGGACATTGCTGCTAACACCCACCCATTCCTGATGGGTAAGGCAGATAAAAGTTTTGTTCAAGTGAACACAGGCAAAAGGCAGAAGAAGGGAACTCCGCTGGAGATGGAGTGCAAACACTATTGTGGTTCCTCTGTGGAGCCTACTGTTTACGTGAACGCCTGGCCCTACCATTCCTGTGCTACAGCCTGAGTCCCCAGTGGAGTGGCCTCTGGGCACTGAGCCAGCAATGGGATTAGTGCCTTGTAGATAGGGCAGGTGTCCACTCAGTGCTACGTGGTGCAGGCTCCTTGACTTGGATGGCACAGAACCAAAGGTCGGTTGCAGTCCATCTCCAGTGGAGTTCCCTGCCGCTGCTGTCTGTCCTCAGCCTCCAAGCTAAGGATACCCCCAACCACTGTCCCACCTTGACAGACACCCCTACACCTTTACCATAGCAAAGAGCAGTGAGATATTTACATACGGGTCTGAGTGAACACACAGGTTCTAGTTTTCAAGGTTCCCATTTGCCACTCCCTCCTTGCATGTCTCTTTTGGAATCTGCTCTGAAGTTCCCAATTTGTGCTCTGCTTACAAAGGCTTCCTCTCCAGACACACCCTTCTCCAAACTCCTCCTTCTCTTGTTCCCCCAGGACATGACCCTAGCCATCTCCACATTCATGGCATTTGGTGTCCTGTTAGGAAAACCACAGACCATTCTATTTTGTGTGTCATCCTGGGTCCAGCTGGGGTGTGATCTCCTGAACGAACTGTACCTTTCGTGAGTAAGGATCAGGTTGACATAAGTGGTAGGAGGGCCACATGCATTAGGCCCAGGGGTCCTGGAGCACAGTATCTCTGGAGTAAATTCCATGACGCTGGATTGACTTCAGAAAACAAATGAGATTGTAGGGTGCTGATGAGCTCAGGTTCAAGGACGCCTCTGCCCCTCAAGGACATGTCAGCCTCTTGGGCCATTTTAGCAGATGAGTGTACGTTCGCTGCCCTGGGAAGGTGCTGGGTGTCCACCTACACTCAACAGCTTTGCTCGTCTCTGGGAGAGCACGGCACTAGCAAAAGCAGGCTGCTTTCCTTCAGCAGCTGAGGCTGTCTACCCCTGACAAAGGAAGAACGCAAGGAGCAGAAATGGGCTTTGTTTTCCAGAACATTCTGTAGTGAAAATCAAGAACAGTGGGGCCCGTCAGAGAGCAGGCTCTCCCCATCCAGTGCACAGCACACCCCTGCCCCAATTTATGGAAAACACAAGCAAATAGATACTCAGAGGCATCTTTGAACAGCCTACGCCAAGATGAAACTGCTGCCATTTTTATGCCCTTAGGACTGGTTGGGGAGGAAATGTAAGCAGAGAAAAGACTATACGATACAAACGCTGTGAAGACATGTTGATGCACTACTCTAGTTACTCTCAAAGACAAGCCTGACTCAGCCTAGACCATTTCAATCAGCAGAGAACGAGGAAGACAAGAATGAAGGGCAGTGGCAGTAGATGCTCACCACACTGAAGACACTGTCTTAAGAACCTCACATGTTAGCTCAGTCAGTCCTCCAACTCTATGAGATAGACACTATCAACCCATTTTACAGATGAGGAAGCAAGAGGCATAAAGAGACTGTCACTTGTAGAAATATAGACTCAGCCCGTGAGCTCTGTGACCCTATCACATGCTCTGATTCACGATACACTGCCCTGGTGTATGGTGTGTGTGTGTGTGTGTGTGTGTGTGTGCGCGCGCACGCGCGCGTGCGTGCGTGTGAATGAGAGTGTGTGTGTGTGAATGTGTATGTGTGGATGAGAGTGTGTGTGTGTGAATGAGAGTGTGTGTGTGTGAATGTGTGTGTGAATGAGTATGTGTGAGTGTGTTGATTATGTGTATGAGTGTGTGTGTGAATGTGTGTGTGTGGATGAGTGTGTGATTGTGTGTGAATGTGTGTGTGTGGATGAGTGTGTGTGAATGTGTGTGTGATTGTGTGTGAATGTGTGTATGTGTGTTAGCTTGCTTTCTATTGCTGTTATAAACACCATGACCAAAAGCAACTTTAAAAAGACCATGGAGGAGTGCTGCTTTTTTTTTTTACATTTTTTTTATTAATATTTTTTTTTATTTTCCATTTTAAATTTAGATAAGAAACAAGGTTGCTTCACAAGTCAGTACGAGGTCCCTCTCCCTTTCCCTCCCCTCCTCCCGTGCCCTCCCCCCATCCCCCCCCCGTTATCCCCTCATTCCCCAAGGGAGGGTGAGGCCCTCCATGGGGGTGTCCATAGTCTGTCATTTCATATAGGGCAGGGCCTAGACCCTTCCCCAAGAGTTCAGGGTGAGAGTGCACCTCACATTGTTCTATGGGAGTCCAGAGACCGTGTGTATACTTGGGATGGGTACTGATCTGCTGTCCAAGGCTCAATAGATTACCTAGGCCTCCTCACTGACACCCAGATTCAGGGGGTCTTGATCAATCCCATGCTGGATTCCCAGGCTGATGCCTGGGATTCAAGAGTTAACCTTTGTCTGGTCAGCTGTTTCTGGGGGTTCAACCAGCCCAGTCTTAATCCCTTTGATCATCAGTCCTCCCTCTCTGATACTGGCTTTCTTGAGTTCAGCTCAGTACTTAACCAGCCAGTAAATGAAGTTTCTGTTTCCCAGACTCTCTGGCAATAGGATTGTAGGCTGGCACTCCCCAGATCTATGTCTAAAATCCATATATGAGAGAGTACATGCCATGTTTCTCTTTTTGTGACTGGGTTACCTCACTCAGGATGGTTTCTTCTAGTGTCATCCATTTGCCTGCGAATCTCATGATTCCATTATTTTTTTCTGCTGAATAGTACTCCATTGTGTAGATGTACCACGTTTTCTCTATCCATTCTTCGGGTGAGGGAGGAGTGCTGCTTTTAAAAAGACCATGGAGGAGTTCTGCTTTTTGGCTC